ACTCGATGGCACATAACAACAACAACTGATAGCACACAACAGCAATATAAACATTAGAATGTTATTGTTGTGTGGTGTCACTCATAACTGACCTTCCAGTAGTTTCCATGGGCTGTTAATTACAGCTGGTAGATTAGAACTGTGAGCCTTTGGGTTGCCAGAACTACTCCTTACTTTTAGTAGGCCTCCAGAGGGCTCTAAAAAATATTAGAATAGCCTAATGGAGGTAGGTATGTCAGAGATAGTGAGATAGGCTCAGGATAGCATGAGGTCCAGAGCTCTCATACATGGGGTCATTATGAGTTGCAGGTGACTCGACATAAAACAACAACGTTTATATAAAGTATTTATGTACAAATTTTTTTTAATCTTTGGTAGCACAATTGTTAAATTCTTGGCTGATAACCAAAAGGTCACCAGCTGCTTGGTGGAGGAAGCTCTGGTGGCATAGTGGGAAGGAGTTGTGCTGCCAGCCCAAAGGCACGCAGTTTGAATTTACCAGTGACTCCATGGGGAAAAGATGGGCAATCTCCTCCAGTATGATTTACTGCCTTTGAAAACCCCCTGAAGGGTCAACTATGAGTTGGTTCCAATTCAACAGCACATTATAACAATAAATTCTTGGTGGAGAAAAGACCTGGTGATCTGCTCCTATACAGATTTGTGCCGAAGAATACCTATGACACGGTTCTATTCTGTCGTATAGGTTTGCTCTGAGTATAAACCATTTTGGCAGCATACACATTCTCATATGGACCTATGTTTTACTGTCTCTTGGAGCAGTGGATTTCCTAGGTCTTGAGATAATTGTAATAGAAGTTCTGGTGGATAGGCTATTACACATTATGCTGCTAATCAAAAGATCAGCAGTTTAAAATCCACAAGTTACTCCATAGGAGAAAGGTGAGCAGTCTCCTCCCATAAAGATTTATAGTCTTAGAAACCTGATGGAGGATCACTGTGGGTTGGAATCAACTTGAAAGTGGTAAAGTATATTGTTTTTTG